TTCCCTACATTTTGGGCACTAGCTTTTAAAGGACATTCTTTGGCACTTCAGTAAAAGTAATGACTTAGGAGAATAATTTCTTGCTGCCATCAAAAACATCTTATAGGGTTTAGCATGACAGGATTCCATGGAATGAGGATTTTATATAAATGAGCATATTATTGACCTGACATCAGAGAAGAGCTAGCATTTTAATATTTCTAAAGACCTAAGAATTCTAGTTTTGATGTCTGTAGTTCATAGGTCTCCCTGGATCCATTGTTTTGCCCCTCAGATATCTCTTTCATAGGAAACTTTTCAAAGCAGTCACTGGAAGATTCTTGATTTCTTAGTTTAGGTTTGACCCTTAGAGGCAGGAAAATACCAGGAACAACTGCAGTTTTCAACAAACACTTAAAGAGCCCTACTCTCAAACTTTCATACCTAAAACTCTCATTTTCTGAAAATATTTTATCTTGTAAACATTGTGCATATTTTAGTCAAGTTATGGATTCAACAATTTGAAGAAACTTGGACTCGTTACCAAGTTCTGCTAGATATTTTCTATGTACACTAGCACTCAAATTAATTCATGCCAGTGTTGATTCCTGAGCACAGAATTGATGTGTAAAAACAAGTCCTCGATATAGTTCAAATGGTGGCCTCTTATAGCATCTTGATGTTTTATACATACAACAACTAGCAGTTTAGCAAGTTGACTTGTGCATAAGGCTGATTGCACCACGTTACCCAACATGATTGGACTGTCCCAAATTATTGTCTACTGGAAAGAAAAAACAGCCCCAAAAGCTTACCTTCCTGATGAAGATCAGTGAGGTTTTGTTTGCAGTTAGTTGAAGCATTACACACCCATGTTGAAATACGTAGCATCTTACATCTTTTAAATGCATTTGTAGTCATTCCTAGTAGCTTCCTTGAGAAATACATGAGGATCTTCATTCTCATTTTATAGGAAAAGAAACTGAAGTCAGTATTTGCCATTAGAGCTGAACACAAATAAAACTCGCTTTGTTTCTGACTCTTCTGTGCTTGATTAAATAAAACAGCCTTTTTCCTTGGCTTGGCACAGGATTTTTTTTTTTTTTTTTACAAAATTATAATTTTTATACATATCAGGTAACTTTCTAATAAGTGCAATGAGTTATTACCCAGAATGTCTTGACTTTGATTGTTAGGTAACAGAAAATTAGTAGATGTTCAATAAGTGTTAATTGGATTGGTTTTGATGACCATTCTCTTTAGAGAGTAGGTTTCCTAAGTTTGTAATTAAAGCTATATTTATATTGATATTTTTATCAATATTGATAAATATTGATATTTTTATGTGCTATTAATATGAATATTTTATGTGCTATTTTATATTGATATTTTTTATGTGCTATTAATATGAATATTATTAACCTTGCAGAATGGTCGATGTAGGGGGCCAAAGGTCAGAGAGAAGAAAATGGATACACTGCTTTGAAAATGTCACCTCTATCATGTTTCTAGTAGCGCTTAGTGAATACGATCAAGTTCTCGTGGAGTCAGACAATGAGGTGAGTGCTCTGTGGACGGGCAATGGATTCTCATTTTAACATCTGATACAAATAAATGATAGGGTATGGGGTAAACTGACTTCATTGCTTTCTTAACTACTGATTTGGGAATTTTTTTAAATAACCCTGTGGTACCATGTGGTATACTCAGAACAGGGAGATGTTTGAGCAGGTCTGTGTGTTCAGGTCTAATTGGACCCTATGTGATACTTCTAACACTACGTGGGGGCTCTGAAAATGAAAATAACAAGGAAATCCCTAGGCTAATTGTCACATTATTTTATAGCCTTCTTCCTACAGGATGGAGTTGGGAGTGTTGGAGTGAGTCAGCCTGTTTTGTTCTGTTTTCATTTTGTTTAAATTGTTGTTTGTATGAGGGGTGGGTCCCAAAGAGTACTCAAAACCTCTCTTGGCAAATGTGAATGACTTTGCAGCTGGGCTCTAAATCAGTTTCTTCTGGAGCCAAGAAGTGTCCTAGTGATGTGGCCTTTCTGCTCTTAGAGAATTCTATAGGCTACTGCATAACTTTGTCTCTGCTAAGCACTGGGTGATTGAAAAAGCATCCTTGATATGCCTGTCTGGAGAACTGATTCAGTGTTGTCATCTCCTTCCTATTGCATGAAATTCTAACAAGTATAAATATGGATTTTTAGGACGATAAAGGCTCCATGGTGAGTCAGAGTTGATTGTGGAGGATAATTAAGGGGCACAGAAAACCGTGACTTTGATCTGGAGTTCGGTGTGTATTGGGAGAATGGAGAAGACACCATTGTTATACTGTTAGAGGCAGAGTTTGCAGACGGACATGCCAATAGTAGATATTGAATTTCCTCCTAATAGGGTAGAAAATAAAGAGAAGGAAGTGAGTATCCCCAATAGCTGATTAAAATAAGATCTGGCATATTAAAATGTACTTCTGATTTTGTACAGTTTTTTTGGTACATAAGAATTCTGGCTTCTTGGTCCTTTTAAATATTTTATTTTTCTGCAGGTATTAATATCTCTTAAAATACATATCAAGTCCTACATAGCATTTTTTTTGTACGTAGGGTTGATGAAGAGTTATGAACCAATATCCCATATAAAGCTGAGTTACCTATTCATGCATTTCAAATGTTTCCTGGGTTACAAGTATATGGGCTTTTGAACCAATCAAAGAAGTTCTTTTTTTTGTTGTTCATGTATATCTTGCTATTTAAGGGACTTCTTTTTAACAGTGAGGTTTATCAGCCATTTGCCCTCTGTAGCCGTAATGCAAAGTGCCTGAAAAGCATGCTAAGATATATGAGAATCAGTTATCACACTTTGAGTTAAGCAGTTACCATCAGAATTTGAGCTATGACATCTCTATACGTATTTTTATTTTTATATCTGTTAGTTGTTCCATAATCTTTGGGTATAGTATTTTAAACATACTACATATCTTGGAAGCATATGACAACATTTTTTATTTCTTTGAATGTTGAATCAAGACAAAAAATATTTTGAGCGCTCATCTACTATGTGCTGGATACCAGGGTATCTAAAGAGATACAGAAATGGAAAAAAAAAATCAACATTGTCGTAAAGGACCTCATAAAAGAGGGATGCTTCTGTCAAAATAGAGAGTCCGAGAGAAGGAAGGCCTTAGTTATAAAGGTCATCATTTCTTTTCTTTAGTTTGCTGTCCAGTGAAATAAAATTTAAGACATTTTTCAACTGCACAGAAGATGTAAGACGCATGCATAATTTTATTTCTTATGTCACTGTTTACATATAGCTAGAGGAAAACAAGTGTTTATCAATACACATTTTATGTGAGATAAATGCATTCTATTTATAAAGAAATATATTTTGTGATTTAATGCTAATCAGTTTACCACTTTAAAATTTGCAACTCATCAGCTAATTCTAGCACATATATCCAGTTAAAGTTTCCACAGAATGAAAGTTTCCACAGAATGAAAGTTTCCACAGTAACTCGCCATTCAACGTATAAGCAGTACACACATCTAAAAATACATCAGTTTCTTTGATTCCTGTGGTGATGCCTTATGCTACAAATTAAAATAATTACTCTATTATTGTTCATTAGGACTCCCTAACCACTTGTGAATATTTTTAAAGCCTACCTTGTAAGTTTATGGTGTTCTTTTCAGATATCAGGCAGATATCACTCAGGCCTGATGGTAGTATTGGAGATGATCTTAAACATTATAAGAAAAAGATACTACTCATTAATTTCTTCATCCATGTTAGCCGTAGTCATCACTGTTGGTAATTAGGAAACACTGTCAAAAGTATTTTTTAATGTCAGGATGTAGTCCATTATTCTTTTTTCTTTTCCTGTTATAGTAATATATGAAAATGTCATTGCCTCTCTACTTTCTTAAATCATTAAAAAAAACTCAGAACTATAGAATTCTACTTTCCCCACATTTTCAGGGTTTGGTGAGACAAAGCTGGAATAGACTCCTAAAACATTTTGTTCTTGGTTTTGAAATCTGATGTTCATAACTTTAATCCAAAGCAGACTTTGTTGTACTTCCCCTGATATATATTTGTGAGAAAAACCTGGAGATGGATACTGACAATCTCCCTTTTATCTTGGGGAACTGTGGAAAATACATTGCAGACCACAAGCAAAAGCAGCTAAGGGAAGTATTTTATTTTAGATTATTGCTTTGGCTTTTATTATGTATTAATCTTCAAATTTTTTATGTAGATGTGCTTTTGTCTGTCTAGATTCTCAGCCTCCCAAGAGTTTGGGGAATGAATTTCTTTCTTTACTTTTTTTCCTCCAAAGAAGGAAATATGTTATCAAATAGCAGGTGAGCATAATCAGGGTTGTAGAGCTGTGTTGATTTACATATTCCTTTTGTGCTCTCTTGGTTTCCCTTTGATAGCACACCAGCACGGAGCCAGTTACTCTGCTGTGATTCTTTCACGCGTACATTATTTCAGTACCCCTGAAAGCCAGAGCACACAATAAGGCATTCACATAACATATTTCAGCTCATCAGTGTGTATCCAGATTCTGTCTTTTAGTCCTTGTTTTTTGTGGTTCTCTGTTACATGAGTATCTGAGTACTAATACAAACTTGTTTCTCAGATATTGACTCAGGGACTGTCTTGCAGACCAAGCTTTTTATAGAATCCCAAAGACTTAGGCCCCTTTTCTCCGATGCTTCCTTTTTGAATGTATGCTTCTAACTTACATTAATTCTTTTGAAATGGTCACAACCAATTAGGTTTTAGTTTTATTAAAATATCGAGATAGTTCCCTGTACCCCAGGTCCTCCTTTGAACCAAGATGGATTCCCATAAACATTTATCCTTCAAATCTGATTCTTGGAGTTGCTCAATTGATTTAAAAAAGAATAGTAAAAGGAGAGAGTAGACATTTATAATACCTTAGCGCTTTGTGCCTATTCAAAACTTGCTTAAACCATTACTTATTTGAGTCTCACCAGCTGACCTCCCGTGAAGTGAGAAGATCAGGTTTGCTGAGGATACAAGAATGGAGAGATTAAGGCCCATGGCCCAGGTCACTCAGGGCCCCCATTCCTCCCCTTCTAGACCAGCTTTCTTTCCCCTGCTTCACAGTGTCTTCCAGAAGTTAGGGATAAACTGAGAGGAAAAGCAAGAGGAACTGTTAAAGGTGGCCAAGAACATAGAGGTAGAATGAAAATCCTGACCCTGCAGGAGTTGAACCCCCTCTTCACCTCTAAACTCTTGTTATACTCACATGAGACCAGCCAGAGATCCTTTACCAGTAATTAAACTAGATTAAAACAAATAATCTAAAATATGCATTTCCTTCAGATATTTCTCCTCTACTAAGTTTTAAAATGAAGCCATTTTGAAGTTATTCAGCTGCAACCAGAGTCTGAACATTTTCCTTAAAAGTGTGAAACATGTACTTTGTTCTGCTCTAAAAACTTCAAGTGAAGTTTGGGAATTTTTTCTCCAGATAAAATTCAGCCCTAGGGGGAGGAAACTGACTAAAAATTGAGGAGAAGAAATTTGAACTCCAAAAGTAAGAGCTTGGGTTAAGATATCCAGTCTCAATGGGATTGGTTCTAGCCCTCCTTTATCGACTCTTAATCAAATTATGAAATCAGAAACTACATCTTGCCCCTCAGTCTTTAGTATACGACTCAGAGTTGTGGCCTGATTAACAAGAATATTCCTGAAAGGCGCCCTACTTTTTTTATATTTAACCCCTTTCCCATTTCCTCATTCCTTTGTTCGTTTTCAGCCACTGTTTCTTTTCTAAACTCCTTCCCACACCCTTTTCATTAGCTGGCATTTCTGTTTGCTCATTATTTTACTCCTCCTTAATTGCTTTGTTCTCAATGCTTGAAGGAAGCCAGAAGGAAGTATTCTGATCACCATTTATGAGTCTGAACCAGAGACCTGCACTTAGTGCTGGTAAGCGTGTGGGGAAGCAGACCCACAGGGACACCTTTTGTGTGAATGTATATTGGAAATCTTTTAAAGACTATATGGAACCCATATTAGTGTAATCTATGCAATAGTTTTTTTTTCAAAGATGAATTATATGAAAAAGATTGCAAAGTAGTATATTTGGTATAATCTGATTTCTGTAATCACAACAAATCACATATATACACTTATTATAGGGAAGGTTATTAGCACACCCACCCACCCACCCACCCCCCAAAAAAAAAAGAAAATGGAAGATTTTCTACCAGGACCAAAGTGTAAAGCGTGATTGTCATTGTTGCTAGGTGATGGCATTACAAATACGTGAAATGATAATTTTTTTAAGTAAAATAAAGTAAGACTTCAGACTGGAACTTTAGCTCTGCTGTTTACCAACTTTGTCCATTTTTCTTTTGAATTTTCCATCTTTTTTTTTTTTTTTTTTTTACTGATTTGTGGGAGTTCCTTACACTCTTGGATGTGAACCTTTTGTCATGTGTACTGCAAACATCTTCCACTTTGTAGCTTGCCATTTATTCTCTTAATGGTGCCTTTTGATCTACAGAAGTTTT